CGTCAGTGTCCACTTTAATAGGCACACCTGTACTCTCTGCTGTAATCCAATAAAAGCTCTATTATAGAGCTGTCAGTTCAGTTGTGTTCAGTGAGAGATGGTGTTGTACTGGACTGCTTTATATTCAGAGCTGTTCCTAATATTCTGACTCCATTCAGACATGTCTCAACATAATGTCCAGTACAACAGCAGCTTTACCTCAGTGATAAACACACATGTATGTTTCTGACAGTCAACATGAGCTCTGTAACGACAGATGTTGCAGCACAGCTGTAGCTAATAAAAACACACTGACATGGTGGGAACGGTGAAGTTGAGGAGGAGAACTCAAGCGACGACAACTTTCCCGCTCAAAGTGGAAGCCCGGACGTGCCGCCATGTTTCCGGTCATTTGGCTCTTTTTCACACTCCACCATCAATCAATCGATTCTTTGAGCTTCGCTGTTTCGTCACCATGAAGTTACTAAGGTTATCCTTTAGAGGGTTCGCTATACAAGTGCGATATGTTAGCCGACTGGGTGCTAACAGTAAGAGCTAGCTGAGTCAAAGGAGTCGTACATGTACTGTAGTTGACACAGGGTGAAACGAAGAGCTTTGGACTGGTCATATTGCCATGAATTGAAAAACGTGCATGTAGTTTGAATGTCACATGATGAGGGGAGAGTCGGCTGTGTTGGCACTTGGGTCGGTCAAAGACGGGCACGTTAGCATTGTTAGCATACAACAGATTGGTCCTCCTTCTTTCCTTTGCGCTAGATACCCCACTGCTTTCACTGCGGGACGCTAACAATGCTAACTGTCCCTCTGACCTCTGCACGCCCCCGCACACGTCTGTTCACGTGTCCTGATGAACCGTGACGTAAACGACAGGTGAAAGATCTGGTGAGTGTTTTGGTTACTAACGCAGTGATGTGACAATGACCCTGTGTTTCTCATCCCGAAACCTCCTGAACAATAACGCTGGCCGTGTTTTCCCGCCGTCACCGACTCGCACACTGTTTCTGCCCATGTGGCTTTAATGAGGTAATATGTTCCTGAAAACACCTGGAAACACCTGGAACGGAGTCAGTCCGTTGTCTCTGTCAGTCACTTCATTTCTCCGTCTGCATCCCGACATGAAACAGCAGCTGATCACTGGATGTGTTCAGAAAATACATTTAGAAAACTGTTTCATTCTGGAAATTATTGCAAGTATTTTCTGATCTGCTTCATCCAGAATCTGCAAGTTTGATTCAGTTAGTCAAACATGATTTCACTTTTTGTTTTCAGCAGTTTTCTAAAAGTATTTTGATACACATGTACGCTGGTGTGATATTTACTTTTCATTCACAGGAAGGAAAGAAAGGAAGTGAAGAACGGAGCTAGAGGAAGAAAGAAAGGCAGCGCCAACAGGGATCGCTCCAGAGATGGAGTAAAAGAAAGGCACAACACTGACGACATCAGGAAGCTTCAATCACACAACGAGAAGTGGAGGAAGATAAAGAGTCAAGGGGAGGAGGAGGAAAGAGGAAAGGAAAGGAGATGGAAGCAGAGGAGAAGAGAGGATGGAAGATGAAGACAAGGGAGAGGGAAGGAAAGATGTGAGGTAGAGAGATGAGAGGAGGAAGACAGGAAAAGAGAGGAGACGAGAAGAGGAAAGGAAGTAAGAGGAAAGGAAAGGCAAAAGGAGAAGCAAGGAGACAGGAGAGGAAAGAGAAGAAAGGGAAGGAGAGAAGATGAGAGGAAAGGAAACAAGGGAAGAGACGATGAGAAGAGACGAGAGGAGGTAAGGAGAAGAAAGGTGACGAGAGAGGAGAGGACAAGGAAGGGATGATAGAGGAAGTCCAGTCCAGTCCAGGTGGTTTTGTGATATCGGCAGTTCAGATCAGTCTAAAACAAAAACCACTTATTGTTTCTAAAGTGTGTATTTAAGATCGAGTCTCACTGTAACCTGCTATTGTTTCCTCTTGAAGCAGTTTAGATATAATTATGTAAAAAACATTAAACTCTCTAATCAAAGAGAAAAACAAAAAACAAAAAGAAAAACAAAGAATAAAAGTTCACAATAAAATATTATGTGACTACAAGTTGTCAAAGCAACTAATAAAATATAGAAACAGAATTTAACACGTAGAAAAGTCTGAGGTATTTCTGGTGTATTGAGGTGATCTGTGGTTCATGAGCAGTATTGTTTTCACGTGTTTTTTCTTTTTTTTTTTTCTTTCTTTTCCACTCGTTTATTAGTCAACCTTGTTCTCTTTCGCGCGTTGACGTTCCTGCGGCCGAGCGCCCCTCGAACGCCTCGCGTCGCTTCACTGACTTGGTACAGAGAGTTGCATGTGTTCAACGCACCGAAAATAAAAAGGAATATACAGAAATATATTCATCTTTGAGTCATCATCATCATCATCATCATCATCATCATCATCATCATCATCGTCATCATCGTCAGCAGCAGCAGCATTGTAGACATTCACTGTTTACATGTATGGCGTCACAGAAGGAACAAAAAACAGAAAGTACAAATAAAACTTTTCAAAACATCATAGTTCCTTGTTTTTTCTCCAGTTGTTTGAACACAAAGGATCATGGGAATTTCTGAACTGGTGTCCGAGGCAGAAGGCCGACGCCCCGGTTTTGGTCCCGGTTGAAGGAAAAAAAAATGAAAAAGAAAATAAGAGTAGAGGTTAGGGAGGGAAGTGAGGAGGAGACTGGTGAACTTTAACCTCTGCAACCTTTGACCTTTGCACTGATGAAAAGTGGAAGTGGAGCTGCAACATCAGATTTACAGTAAAACAAACTGGTTTCCACTGAAGATGTAAATCTTTAAAACTCCTCACAAACAAAGTTTCATCATTGAATAAAAAGTCTCCATCACTTCCTGAATCAGCTGATCAGTCGTTTCTAACACGAGCAAATATATGAAGCATCTGTTGAGGACTATTTTCAGCGGAGGATTAATCCACATTTGTTGCTGTAGAGTGTTTGTGGCAGCAGGACGGTGTGTGAGTGTGTGTGAGTGTGAGTGTGTGTGTGTGTGAGTGTGTGTGTGAGTGTGTGTGTGTGTGTGAGTGTGTGTGAGTGTGAGTGTGTGTGTGAGTGTGTGTGTGTGAGAGTGTGTGTATGTGTGTGTGTGTGAGTGTGAGTGTGTGTGTGAGTGTGAGTGTGTGTGTGAGTGTGAGTGTGAGTGTGAGTGTGTGTGAGTGTGTGTGAGTGTGTGTGTGTGTGTGGGTGTGTGTGTGTGTGTGTGTGTGTGTGTGTGTGTGTGTGTGTGTGTGTGTGTGTGTGTGAGTGTGTGTGTGTGTGTGTGTGTGTGTGTGTGTGTGTGTGTGTGTGTGTGTGTGTGTGAGTGTGTGTGTGTGTGTGTGTGAGAGTGTGCTTGGAGGGAGAGGATGTGCCACAGGAAATGCTCAGTGTCGGTTTGAATCATGACACTGATTTTCAAAGTAAGAGCTCATGTGAGCAGATAAACAGCTGAGTGCAGTGAGACTTGATTTCTGCAGTGCTGCAGCTCAGCCAGGAGGTGGCTCTGTTGGAAGGTGACAGAATTGAAGAGGTCAAAGGTCACAGGTCCTTCACTTAGCTCCAGGTCATACACAACCAGACTGAACAAAACCCATCAGCACATACAGTAAAAAACTTCAGAAAAAGAAACTCATCATCTGTCACATCATGTGACATGTGTTCTCACACACACACACACACACACACACACACACACACACACACACACAGACCTACATGCATAAACCACTCTATGCATCCTGAGGTCTTGCACCTTTTTTCCAGGGTGTTTGGGCACCTTGCTAATGTACATATTCAGGACAGCCAATAGGCTTTGAGCACCCTCAGATAAACCCCTCCCACCAAAGTCATCACCAAAGTTTCATCAGCCACACCTGCTGCTGGCGCCGCCCCTCCCCAGCTGTGGAAACATTGAGCGCCCCCCCCCAAAAAAAACCCCTGTAGACCTGGTTACCTGAGAAGTTTTATTTCTGAGCCAACCAAAATGCTGTGGTTGAGCGCAGACAGCCAATCAAATCTCTGCATGCAAGATGTTTGCCTCCTGGTTCCTGACAACCAATCCCGTCAGACTTCTCTTAGTCTTCAACCTCAAACTAAAACAGCTAAACACAAAAAAGAGAGAAAGGAAACAAACACCGTCCAGTCTTTCTGGCGTCTTTCCTTCTGACCTCACTTCCTGTTTCCTGTCTTTTTGGATACAACCCGTTGGATCCGAAGGTTTGTCGTGTGTGGATAGTGATGTGTGGTCACAGGAGAAAAACAGAAGAAAAGAAGAGTCCGAGAAAAGGTAGAAAAACTAAACTTAAAAACCTTTGCTGTCGTTGTTTGTGCAACAGTCATCGTGTTCCTCCAAGGGTTTTGCAGCATTGTGGTAAAAAAACATCCCAACGGTAGGTTGATGGTAGGTGGTTGCTAGGTGACACGGTTGCGAAGTTGCCAGGTAGGTAGATAAATCCAGATGCGTCGGAGAAACAGAAGAAGAAGAATGCACGAGGAAAACCATAAAAAAGTAACGAAAGTCGTCGCTGAGGTACCTGGAGATAGAAGAGCATTCACTGAGTCGGGACCTGAACGCGTTTCAGTGTTTTCCTGTGTGTGTGTGTGTGTGTGTGTGTGTGTGTGTGTGTGTGTGTTTGCTTTGTTTTTCCACACACACACACTTGGTTAAAAAAACATGAATGACTGAAGACTGAGGACAAACGAGGACGTGTGCTGGTAATATCTGTTCCAAAGGATGAAGAGTAAAAAACACAATCCAAAAAGATAAAGTAGCAGCTGCTTTCATGCTGAATCTGGTGTAGGTTGTAAAATTCCACTGAGAAAGTGTGTGTGTGTGTGTGCGTGCGTGCGTGTGTGCGTGTGTGTGTGTGTGTGTGTGGGGGGGGTTTCAGAGGAAGTTGAACCTCACGTCAGGAAAGAAAAATCCCCGGTAACAACAGGCCTCCAAAGAAAAGTTTAGTTTTCTTGTTTTGTTCCATCACATTTTGACGCTCTCCTCATATACTGGACTCTTTGGGCGGCAGGTCCACATTGGTTACCATGGGAACAGGAGCGACCGTGGAGACCAGCAAGGCGTGGTGGTCGGAGGTAGGCGGGGTGATGGTGGCGTTGAGGCGGCGCACCTGGGAGATCCTCTCCTCCACGCAGCCGGCCGACAGACGAGCCTCGGCGTCATGGTCCCAGCACTCGTCCACCGTCTCACAGATCTGAGCCAGACCCTGCAGAGCCAGCACATCACAGTCACTTCAAAATAAAAGCACAAGCGTTTAGAGCCTTCTGCTTTCTCCTTATTTTCCTGATCTGTATTATTCTTTTTAAAAATACTCTCCATCTCCAGCCTGCACACACATGTATATACTGTATAAATGCAGTTTAATGTTGGACTGATTAGTTTGAGTTCATATGTAAAATAACAGTAATAGACTGTAAGTGGTTTAAGAAATTGAAGGATTATTTTCAATATTTACAAGTTGAGGTATTTACAGTTCAGAATGTGGAATAACTTTAAATACACATTTTCATTTGTGACAGCTGAGACATAAAGGAACAGGACACTATGGTCGCTACCTTTTAGCTGCTGCGCACCTGAATTGCTTTGATATTCCTGTAAGGGGAGGGGCGGGGAGTGACATCAGGTCAGGCAGGTGAGCAGAGAGTGGAGACAATTTTTTAACCTCTCTCTCGCTCTCTCTCTCACTTCTGTTAATTTGTTTAATAACTTTTTCTCAGTTTTTATTTTTCATCAGTATAAACACCCCCGAGTTTTTCTACAAAAAAAATAAAATATAAAAATAAAAAAATAAACGTCGAAAAATGAAAAATGATCGCCCCCCAAAATATTTTTTTCACTTGCCTCTTGGGAGTCGTTTCCACTGACGAAAAAAAAATTAGAAGTAAAAAAGATTTTCACTTGGGGGATCATCAAAGATTTCAAAAAAAAATTAATGAAAAATAAATAATTCTAGCAATAAATTTCTTCTTTTTTTTGGTGAAGATCCTCGAAGTGTTTACTTTGTAATACTGATTTCGACCACTAGAGGGCGACACTAAATGTGATCATGTTTCCCTCTAGCTGATTTTTAATTTCTCCATGCGCAAACACAAGCTTCATATGATGTGTGTTAGCGAGTTATGTAACGTTATTGTTCCATCTGTGTGTGTGTGTGTGTGTGTGTGTGTGTGTGTGTGTGTGTGTGTGTGTGTGGGTGTGTGTGTGTGTGTGTGTGTGACACTCACGCTGTGTTTGAGCCAGAGGTCTTTGAAGGCCGGTCTCATCTTCTTGTGGACGACGACCTCCTGCAGGTCCTCCAGTGACGGGTGCTGACCGACCTCCTCCTCAAATGGCAGCATGTACTCATCCACCGGACCTGAACAAAAACACACCTGAGCACCTGAACATCAACGTCCCAGCTGCTGCTTCACCTGATGCCACAGAACATGTGGTGGGGGTGGGGGATTAAGACCTGCTACTGTTGTTGTTGATGATTCTAGATCAGAATCTGGACAATCTGAACATGAAGCCACAGCAGAGAAGTACTCAGGAAGAGTGTGTGTGTGTGTGTGTGTGTGTGTGTGTGTGTGTGTGTGTGTGTTACCGTCAACAGCCTTGCAGCGGGACACCAGCTCCCACAGCACCAGCCCCATGGCGTACATGTCGATTCGGAGGAAGGCGTCTCGCTGGAAGTTGATGGCTCCTTCTAAAACCTCTGGAGCCATGTAACGCCTGGTCCCTACCTGCGCGCACACACACACACACACACACACACACACACACACACACACACACACACACACATTTATATATTACACACATTAAACCATGTTCAGTGTTTAGCTGAAGCTCCACAGCGTCAGTCACAGCAGCTCACCTGTCCATGTGTCTCTCCAGGTGGTTTCCCCGGCTCAAAGAGAACGGCGAGACCAAAGTCACCGATCACTGCTGTGAGGTCTGAACGTAACATGATGTTCTTACTCTTAAAATCCCTGAGACACACACACACACACACACACACACACAGGAAACATATTGTACATCAAACCATTTCATTGTGCAGGTAACACGTCACCTGACTCACTGCCTCCATCATGTGGATAAATGTTGTTATTGCAGACAGATGTTTAATCGTTTCAGAGACAGAACATCTGGCTGGTGTAACATCTGCTTGAGGGGGAACCTCAGGTTCTTGTGTTTGTGTTGTTCGATTTGAAAATAAAAAAGTTCAGAAAAGTTTTTGATTTGGCCTCGGCTACGTTCCAGTCACATGAACATATTTAAATGAACCACATATGTTATTGAGATCTGAAATGATCAAGCTGCAGTAATGCTTCAACTTAAACTTCTCTAAAACGACGGCGAGCCGCATGGAGGTGCAGACCTGTGAGCGATGGCTGGTTTGGGTCCCTCGCCTTTCTGTCGGGGGATGTCTTCGTGAAGGTAGGCCAGGCCGCACGCCATCGACTCGGCTATGTGACACAGCTCCGACCAGCTGACCACGTTCCCCTTCAGGAAGTCCGACAGAGAACCCTGGAGAGACACTGAGACGCTCGTCATCCAAGATCATATCGAACCTGCAGAGTCATTTCTGTCCGTGACTAAATCTGAAAAATCCGTTTTTTTACAAACTCAGTTTGTTTGTCCAAACTCACTGAACTTCATTCAGTTCTAGTTGAGTTCCCAAAGATCCTAAACATCCCAAAGATCCAACACATGTCAGAAGTTTGAGGAAATGATGCACCAGAAGTGTGAAATATCTGATGCAGTAAATCAGCCATAAATAACCCCCTCCCTCCCTCCCTCCCCTCCCTCCTCTTCCTCACCCTCTCGTGGAACTCGCTGATGAGCCACAGCTCGGCCTCCAGGTGACTCCCTCGTTTCTCTGCGCCGATGTACCTCAGGATGTTTTCATGCCTCATACCTGGTGTAGTGAACACGTCTCTCTCGTTCTGCCACGACTCCTTATTCTGTCAGGAGGAGGAGGAGGAAGAGGAGGAGGAAGACGTGTTTAAAGGTTTCCACACAGGAAGACAAAACACGGCGAGCAGACGTGTGACTCTGTACCTGGATGGGGAAGATCTTGACGGCCACGTACTCATTCATCATCTGGCCTTTCCAGACGCAGCCGAAGCGCCCCCTGGCCTTCACCTCCAGCAACTGCAGGGGCTTGAGACCCAGCAGGGGGGAGGCAGGAGGAGGAGCAGGATCCTGGAGGGCACAGAGCAGGGAGTTGAAATACCTCCTCATGGTCGTATCCCTCCTCCACCCAGACTAGTTCCAGGTTACATCTGTTTATCCAGAGTCAGACAAATATTCAGTGTGTGTGAAGAGGTGAGTAATGCCTAAAAAGTGTTTTGTGAGGTCACATTGACCTTTGACCTTTGAACCCCAAACTCTAATCAGTTCACCCTTGAGTTCTAGTGAACGTTTGTGCCACATTAGAAGAAGTTCTGTCGAGGTGTTACTGAGATAACGTGTCCAACCTGAAAACAAAATGGCGGCTGTGACTGTCGCCAGGCGGAGGAATAAAGATACTAAGGCGTAAAATCAGCTGGAGGCCACACAAACACTGAATTCACATGGAAACGCCAAAGAAACTGAGGTAATGTGTTTGAGTGAGACAAAGAGCTGCAGTTCCACCACAGCAACACCAGAGGGCGCCATGACTCCATGTTTTCACTCACTCTCTCCTTTCCTTCCATCCTTCCTCCCTTTGCCTCCTTCCTCCCTCACTCCTTTCCTTCCCTCCTTCCTCCCCTTGCCTCCTTCCTCCCTCCCTCACTCACTCTCTTCTTTCCTTCCATGCTTCCTTCCCTTGCCTCCTTCCTCCCTCCCTCACTCACTCTCTTCTTTCCTTCCATGCTTCCTTCCCTTGCCTCCTTCCTCCCTCCCTCACTCACTCTCTTCTTTCCTTCCATGCTTCCTTCCCTTGCCTCCTTCCTCCCTCCCTCACTCACTCTCTTCTTTCCTTCCATGCTTCCTTCCCTTGCCTCCTTCCTCCCTCCCTCACTCACTCTCTTCTTTCCTTCCATGCTTCCTTCCCTTGCCTCCTTCCTCCCTCCCTCACTCACTCTCTTCTTTCCTTCCATGCTTCCTTCCCTTGCCTCCTTCCTCCCTCCCTCACTCACTCTCTTCTTTCCTTCCATGCTTCCTTCCCTTGCCTCCTTCCTCCCTCCCTCACTCACTCTCTTCTTTCCTTCCATGCTTCCTTCCCTTGCCTCCTTCCTCCCTCCCTCACTCACTCTCTTCTTTCCTTCCATGCTTCCTTCCCTTGCCTCCTTCCTCCCTCCCTCACTCACTCTCTTCTTTCCTTCCATGCTTCCTTCCCTTGCCTCCTTCCTCCCTCCCTCACTCACTCTCTTCTTTCCTTCCATGCTTCCTTCCCTTGCCTCCTTCCTCCCTCCCTCACTCACTCTCTTCTTTCCTTCCATGCTTCCTTCCCTTGCCTCCTTCCTCCCTCCCTCACTCACTCTCTTCTTTCCTTCCATGCTTCCTCCCTTTGCCTCCGTCCTTCCTCACTCACTCACCCGCTCTCTCCTTTCCTTCCCTCCTTCCTCCCCTTGCCTCCTTCCGCCCTCACTCACTCACTCTCTCCTTTCCTTCCTTCTCCAGAAAAATAAAAAATAAAAAAAAGAAAGTCTAAATCAAATTAACTAATACCAACAGCTCTATGGTGTATGTGTGTGTGCGTGCGCGCGTGTGTGTGTGTGCGTGCGCGCGCGTGTGTGTGCGTGTGCACCTCAGTGATGTCCACGTGTCCGTACGGAGGTTTCCGGTGTCGGTACATCCAGACGGCGGTGAGCAGAGTGACTGACAGCATGGTGACGGGCAGCAGGCAGTAAATCATCACGTTTAACACGCCGACGCTGGGGGGCGGAGCTTTGATCACTGACACACACACACAGTTGAATAATACTGATTAATTGATTAATCGATGAGATGAATCATAAACAATCACAGAGAAATAAAATCAGAAGAATACAGATGTGACACACACACACACACACACACACACACACACACACACACACTGAAGGCAGCGTCACATGACTCACGTGGTCCCGTGGCGTCGGGCAGGTGTGTGAACCTCTCGTTGCAGAAGTTTCCTTCGCAGCAGCAGAAGAAGACCTGAGGACTCTCCTCCGTCGCCACACACTCCTGTCTGAGGGACGAAAACAGGAAGTACATCAGCGTCTGGACGTCCAATCACAGCTCTGATGCTGAGTGTCGGACATTTGTCTCTAAATAAACTAAAACATTCACAAATATGAAACAAGAGAAAACAATAAGAAACAAACACAGTGATTGTAGAACTGACCTGTGACATCACCTGTCAAGTACCACTACTACTAGTACTAGTACTGCTACTACTAGTACTCCATCCCCCCTGGCAGCAGGGGGGGCCGCGCTCACAGTTGCAGTGGTTCTGCATGTTCTGAAGATGTAGTTCTACACTGTCCCTCCTCCAGAGATCTCCTCTGAGGAGCGACGCTCCTCTCTGTCTGTCCGTTGTCGTCTAAACAGCAGAGGGAGGCTAACAGCAGACCTGTCAATCACACGGCGTCTGGGGAACGCTAAATATCACGGCAGCAGTTGTACTTGACCCAAATAGCAGTTTGTTTTTTTTTTCTTGTGACGTCTCGGGGGAAAATGTGAAACTTGCAGCATCGTCGGAGTCGGGGGAGAAACTGGGAGCAGCAGGAGGAGAGACGTTTCTCCAGTCTCTCCTCCTGCTGCTGTGAACTGATGTTTCACACACGATTACTGAGGAGAAGTGGGTGGATCATGTGAAGCTCTGCAGCTGATTGGCTGAATTCATTCATTCATTCATTCAAGTCATTTCCATATTGAAGTTCGGGATCTTGGGAAATGTTTTGATGTTTTTGATGAACACATTATAAAACAGTAAAAACAAACATTGTCTTTGTCAGCAGGACGTTCTCCACTAAATAAACTTTTACATTTCAGAATTCAAGAGGCACTGTTTAAAACCTGCGTTTTAAATAAAACGTCACTTGATTCAAGGTTTAGAAACTTGCTGCCTTCATGTGCTGTTGGAAATATTGGAAGTTCAAGTTTTCTGACCTGTTTTCTGAACTTTCCATAGATCATCTATAAAGGCCTCGTTTACTTTCATCAGAGGCTTTAACCTGATGAGACTGAGCTGACTTTTAGTTTTCACTATAAATATTGTGTTTGAAAAAACCAGAGCTGTTGGCAGCGATTCAGAGGTCCATGAACTCATCTCATTTCCACTCTGAGAGCTTGTAAGATATAAATAAACATTAACACTGAGGACGACCTCTGAGAGGATCCGCATGGTGAAGCGCTGTCGACAAAACCACATGAATAAATCTTTACTTTAAAAATGAAAAATGACAAAAACATCCATGAAACACCGTCTGTCTGCGCTCAGACCCGAGCTCATCAAGCCAAGACATTCTGAACTGAGGCGACAGGGCTGTAGTCTCCCGCTGCCGTCACCGCACTGTTGCATCACCAGCCCCGAGCGTTTACACGGCACCCGGTCACAGCACCTGTCAATCAAACTGGGGGCAGCGGGGATGATGGGAAATGTGTTCCTGTCGCTGCAGAGTGGCTAAAACGAGAGTCAGCGACTGTTTCGCCGTCGCACAGCGCTCGAGAGTTAGCAGCAGAGTGAGCTGCTCCACCATTGCCATCTTGGCAGTGTCTGACTCCAACTAGCTACACACAGCTAATCCAAACATGGTCAAAGAGGAGGGGCTTGTGTGGAGCTGACACTTCAGTTCATGTCAGTTTGTGGCAAACATACACCCACCTGTCACTCAAAGAGGCCACGCCCTCAGTCCTCCATAACTTTAGTCCTTAATAAAATGTAAACAGGTGAGTTATATAAACAGGTGTCATGAAGTATGAAATTAGCTTTTGTTGTTGTTTTTGCCCCTGGATTTAAACATGTTTATTTCTGCTGTAAAGTTGGACATTTTAACATGGGAGTCTATGGGGACTGACTCCCTGTTGGAGCCAGACTCTAGTGGTCGTTAGAGGAACTGCAGCTTTCATCAGGTGTGTGTTTGTACCTGTCGTAGCAGTTGAAGTCGTCCAGCCAGCAGCCCTTCTTCACCAGCTCGATGGAGCCCGAGTTGTTCCTCCAGGAGGCGTAGCAGTGCGAGCGCTTGTCCTTCTCGTCCTCGCATCGCTCCACTCCGCTCTGATTGGTCTTCTCAATCTCAAAGTTGACGTTGTAGTACAGACACTCCCTGGTGTCGCCTTCCCCATGGCTCAGTCCTGCAGCACAGAGAGAGAGGGACAGTGTGACAACACACACACACACACACACACACACACACAGTTTTTAATCTTTTTTTTCTGAGGAAGGAAGAACAGTAGCGAGTGAGACATGCACACTCATCTCACTCTTGAAAGATCCAGAGTTAAAAGCTGCTGTGGGCGTCGACGCCTGCTGCTCAATAATCCATCATGGCTCAGTCCCTGACCCCCCCCCCATAATTCAACACTACTCCACCAACATCAAAAACACCATTAGCGCTTTCTAATCACACTCCTCTTATTAAAGCTGAGACAGGGAAGAAAAGAGGCAAGTGTCTGTCTGCACACAACAGGTGAGTCCGAGTCTTCAACCAGCCAATCAGAGCCACTCTACACTAACGAAACATGTTCTGTTCAGAGAGGAGGGAAAACACAGTGATTTCATATTCCTAATGTGTGTGTGTGTGTGTGTGTGTGTGTGTGTGTGTGCTCCTGCAGTGTATCATGATGTTTTACTGTGACATTGAAGGAAACTTAAAAACTGGAGGATTCTTTATGAAGTTCTACGGACTCTGTTTCTCTGGAGCTTTATTCTGGAGGGACATCAGATGATGACATCATCAGGAAGTTATGTCACACTGAACCAGTTCAACATGTCCAGGTTCAGGTCTGAGGGTTCAGGTCAGTCTCCTCCCTGATCGGAGCAAAGATCCTCTATAAGAGAAGATGACGCACTACAAGCAGCACCAGTGGTAAGAAAAAGTCTACACTTCCTGTTTCCTGAGTGGGCGTGGTCAAAACACAACAACAACACAATACAACACTACATACAGTTGGAATTCATGCCTGAGGGAGGAGATGTGTGACGGTTGCCAGTGAGACAGATGTTTCAACGTCCCTGTGAGAAATGGATCCAGTATTTATTGGTGATCAGGTCACGTGATCAGACTCAGACCTGCTGCTGGTCTCCTAAAGGGGTGGGGCAGAGGAGAAACCATGTGACACAGATACAGGAAGTCTCAACTGTCTCTGATCAGTCTCAGTTGCTGCTGCAGCGCCTCCTGCTGACACACTACACTAACCAACACCTGCACCTCCTCTCCACCCCCCCAGCACCTCCTCTCTCTTTAGCCTTCCTTCCTTCTTCCTCTTTCCTTCTTTCTTGGTCTGTTTTTTCCCTCTCTCCTCCTTTTCCTCTTCATCCATCTTTCACATCCACCCTCTCTTTCCTTTTCCCTCCATCCTCTAGCTCTCCTTCACTTTAATTTCTCTCTCCTCTCTCCATCCTTCCTTCCACCACCTTCACTCTTTTCACTCCTCTCTTTGTCCTCGTCTTCATTTTTCTCTCTCAGATTCTGCCTCCCCCCTCCCCCCCTCAAGAATAAATCAAATTCCTTCACCTCCACCCTCTCCCCCTCCCTCCCTCACATAAAGAGAGGAGCAGGAGGAGGGCGGGCGAGCAACAGTGATAAAGAGAGAGAGAAAAGAAGGTTGAGGTCTTTTCAGGTAACCGGAGCTGCGCACACACACACAGACACACACACAAAACTTATGGGTGCCAGATGTGACCTTTGACCTCTGAGGTCATATGAGAATGAGATCATCACCAAAGGAGCACTCTCAACACACACACACACACACACACACACACACACACACACAGTAGCTACAGGATGTGTCTTCGGCCTCTTTCAAAGTAAAATGAAGTCCCCTGTATACAGTATAGATACATCCTGCTCTCTAACAGACCTCAGTGTTTGGGGGGGGGGGGGGGGGGGGGGGGGGGGGGGGGGTGGGGGGGGGGGAGGGTTGGGGGGGGGGGGGGGGGGGGGGGGGAGACCCGAGGAGGAAAAATAAAAAGTGTCTCTCAGATAAAGAGTGAAGTGAAATACTGAGGAGACACGGAGACGGACGGAGCAGGTTTTGGCAGCTTTTACTGTGACAGATGTTACAGCCAATCTGTGCATTTATTGTTGCTAGGCAACCAGAAAGGTGGGAGTATTCACACACACTGCTGACAGCAGTACAGTAGAAGTACAGCTGGTTTATTCTCATGAACTCAGTGTAGACAGTGAGCTGGAGGAGGCCGCTCGTTACTGCGCTCTCATAATGAGTCAAATCACCTCTCTTAATTACTGAACACAGAAAATCTAAAGCAATTTAATTACTACCATCTCATCCTCCACGCTGACCTTGACCTTTGACCTTTAGCCACCAAAATCTAATCAGTTCATCCTTGAGTCCTAGTGAACGTTTATACCAAATCTGAAGAAGTTCTGTTGAGGTGTTACTGAGATATCATGTCCACGAGAATGAGACGGACGGACAACCTGAAAACAATATGGCCGCCGCTCTGACTGTCGCCGGGCGGAGGAACCAAAACAACAAAACAACAAGACGACAACTGAGCAGGTGACAGGACCGTCTGTGGGCGGAGCTGCAGGTGAAATTCAGAGGATGATGTTACAGATATCTACACACAGTGATTACAGTATGTTGAGACTGACTCTAGTAGTACTGTAGTACTGCAGTACTGTATTCTACGTGTCAGTACTTGAAGTACAGAGAGGAGTTCAGCAGTAAAGTACCCTGTCGTCTGCAGTCTGAACTCTCATCAGTATTCTGGAGGTCGACCTTGGTCACCATGGAGATCTGTGAGCTAATGGGCCAGGCAGCTGTCAGTGTGTGTGTGTGTGTGTGTGTGTGTGTGTGTGTGTGTGTGTTGACATTTAGTCCAACTTCTTTTTCAATTAAAAAGTTGAGCAGCGAGTTTCAGAAAGTCCAGGAAGAGACGAAGGAGCTGAGACCGTTTCTATTGACACTCTACTGAGAAACACACACACACAAACACACACACACACACACACCACAGGGGGAACATCTGTCAGCCTGTAAAAGTTCACCTCTCTCTCTCTCTCTCTCTCTCTCTCTCTCTCTCTCTCTCTCTCTCTCTGTATTAAAGGCACAGTTCACGTTTCCAACATGAGGTGAAGTAAAGAGCTTTTTAAATCCAACAGTGGAACTGTGCTGAGCCGCTTGAATTCAAACTCCACAGCCTGTAGGCTCACCAGAGCCACCTGCTAGCACACTGAGCTAATCAACAGATGGAGCCCAGGTGAGGAGCAACGTCACCTGTCCAAGCTCACACCTCACTCCTCATCCTCAGGATGAAGCTCGTAGACAGACATGTAACCACCGACATGTGACCACCATCCAATCAGGTATCAGGGGGAGGGACCTTTGAGCAGCTGCGTGGCTCTGTGGATGGCGATCGGACACGTCGGATCACCAAAGTCAGTAGGAGTCGTCATCTGGGGATGAATGTATGAATGTCTGCACAAAATTTCATGTTGGTCCATCCGACAGCTGTTCAGATATATGTATTTGTAGTAAGGCCGCACTTCACAATAAAAGCCCCCTTGTTATTTTGACGCAGTAGCAGGAAGCTCCACGACAACCTGTTAACCTCGCTCTGTCCAAAACCAACTGCAGAGCTACAGCTTAATACGAAACATCTCCACCACCAGAGCGCCCCATATGAAAGCTGGCGTCTCCATGGTGACGGCCCTACGGCAGCCCGTGAGGGGACACGAGAGGCGGAGAGACACAATAACACGTCTGATCTGAGGGTGGAAAGGTCAGCCATCTTTGTCTCTCAGCACAGAGCTGCAAACCAGCTCTATTGTCAGTGTGTGAGATCATCTGACCTGCATGTCAACACACACACACGCACACGCCCGCACACACACACACACACATATGCTAATCAGCCTTACGTGTCAGTGAATAATGTGGTTATGGAGCAGACCTCTGGAACTACAGAGCTGCTGGATGTTGAAGTCCTACGTCACGTGTGAATGATGCTGCGGAATCTGATGTTGTGTGTTGTGTGTTGTGTGTTGTATGTTGTGTGTTGTGTGTTGTATGCTGTATGCTGTGATGGTGGATCCTCCTGCAGACGGTCAGATGTTGAGCAGATGTTGTGGAGACTGGACTGACTGAGCTCAGAGCCATCTCAGTCAGACCACACCTGTCTGTAACTGCAGGTCCAGCGTGTTCTCACGACCTTTGACTGAGGTGCTGATGTCACCATGGAAACCATAAAGTTTCATATCATATGCTACAAACAGTGACAGCTGTAGCATTGTCATGAAAAACATCACGTTTTAATGGCGAGTGTGAGAAAACCGTCCAGCTGCAACGAGTCAGACACATGATCACATCTCACATTAACATGTCTATACTGCCTGTGTGTGTGTGTGTGTGACCTCTGACCTCCTGTGTTTCCTTGATGATATGGATACAGACGTGTGTGAAATGCAAATCACTCAAAGTGTGTGCGACTTTATCATGCAAAATGATCACATACGAATTATTAAGAAGCTTTGTGAGCTCCAGACGGGGGGGTCAGAGGTCACACACACACACACACACACACACACACACACACACACACACACACACACACACACACACACACACACACACAGGCATCTGGCAGGCCAAGTGTGTGTGTGTGCATATGTTACTGAGATCATAGGGCAACATATGAGATGCAAAGCCATGGGAACTCTTCACACACACACACACACATATCATCATATACAAAAGATTTCTTGCTTTTTGAATTCGCACCACTGACTGGCTTCTTCTCCATGGCAACCGTGGCTGAGGCTCATGGGTATTGTAGTACAAACTGACAGACAAAACAAACTCATTCAAACTGGCCACCACAACATGACCCCCCCCCCACACTATTTATAGGCTCTCACAAATCTGCTGAACCACTCTCGGAAAATGATAAGAGGAGGAGGGTGAAAGGAGTACTAGAGCTTGTCATTAACCAAATCTCACTCAGGCTCTCTCCATCCCCACACACACACACACACACACACACAACCACACCACCAACACACAACACCCCACACACACACAAGCCAAGTGCCATCAATCACAATGTGGTGGGCCCTGACAGCACAGAGGGCTGCAGACAATAGAGCTGACCTCTAACAGAGAGAGAGAGACAGA